TCCGATTTGATGATGCGTAGATTAGTAGGTCCATGGATGATCTTAGCAACATGGCATAACAAATTTTCATGGCTTCAGTGGAATCACGTGTTCACACCGTGTAAATCAAAATGTCTGATTTCTTCCTGATAATGGTAATTTAATGGAGTATGACTTCTCATCTGCCATGGACCTACAACCACTTCATGGGCAAGTTCTGTTGCAATGTCATCACAACTAGTAAGGTTGACGGTGAATTAATCGATTATTTATCTGCAAGTATTCACAAGGTAATCGAATGACTTCGTAATGGTATAAATATATCCCTGCATAACGAGCAATTAACCATGTCCTAGCGTCGACTGCCAGGGCTTTTATTAAATCAGGGCATACATTCTTATTAAATAAGATTAAATGTATAACAATGTTTATAATTATTGAATTATTTGAGTATTTTGTATTATCTAGGATAGCAACTGACATACCTAGTTCTTTCTGAACAATTAAATACTTCTATCCCATGCAAGTTTCATCATTATTATGCCCTTTCGAATTGCAACAGAAATATATTAAATACATTGTAAACATTTCCCATGTTATGCTCATGTACGCGTTAATAACTATATAGTTATTAAATGAAATAATTTGTTGATGAATTAACGCTCCGTGCAGTCAGAACACAAATATGGCTGTGATATGTGATTATACACCATAGGACTTGAATAAATAACCCACATTTCAACAGTGCGACGATACGCAACGTTATAGAAATAGAATGCCTGTTTTTATAAAGAGAGTGGAACTCGATACTGCAAGTTTTGCAAAATGTAAGTATACTTAGACTGACTCGAACTACCCGAACCGAGACTCGAATTCACATATTTTCTTGGGTAGCAGTGTGAAAGGCAGCGACGTCTGATGACAAGAAATTCCATGTATTGTAGGAACGTGGCATGCATTTTTAATAAGTACTGAATGAGCAAATGGAGTTTCTTAAAAATGGGGAGCGATCTGAAAACGTGTATAGCGGACGTATACGTATTGCTGCTGTTGGTGGGTATCGATGGGCACAGCTCTACCTACCGTCGCGTGCCCTTGTCCTGTTTACCATCTGCCGTGAAAGCAGGCTTAAGCTTTGCTCGGCTCGTGCTAGACGTGCTGCTTGCCGTCCATGTCGGTGTCGTTGTTGGGTTGGTTCCTATCCCATCGTCAGATTTCCTTTTGCAGGCCATTGTGACTATAAGTTCATTTTGAAATCACTAATATGAATAATTACTGGTTCTAACGCCTGTGTTGACCGTCCTTCGGCCAACCAAGGTCTGAATTCATGTTGATTAACGCAGCAATGGCCCGTTCAACTGATATCCTATAGGTCGGGGCAGAGCTCATTAAATATGGTATGCCCTTTGCACAAATATGGAGTGCCTCGTCACGCAGTAAACATGAAGTACATTCCAATGTTAGTTTGACGGGATTGGCTCTACGAGACTCTCAGAACGCTAGTGACGCTGTACATCTATCCCATTCCACCCGTATAATATTACGCAACAACAATAAACTGCCCGGCTTCGGGGATCGTAACTCGAATACGCAAGTTCATTTTCACCTTGGCGTGGGTAGTGAGCAATACGAAAGCTATGCCGTAAACAACTATTGTCCACCCGTCATGATTGTCAGGTCCCATTTGTCTTGCCTGGCATATACTTGTAATTTAATACTACACATCACCGATCCCCCGGGTACCAATGCACATCCACATCTTATAAACACATTGTTTTGTTATTATTATTTAAATACCATTTTATTTATACTTGTACACTATTATACCTATTTTCACTCAGTGCATTTTGACGGAGCCGTTTACCGGTCCAATTGTCTTAGTGAATGAGATCCGTTCCGCCCCCTCACACACATTCTTAGCACATTAGCCGTCACAAAACGCCTATAGAAACTTCATAACCAGGGAAAGTATTTTGTCTAACCACCACACGCCAGAGTACAATCCAGTCGCGAGTATTCGCAGTATAGAATTTGTGGCGTCCATGCCAGGAAAATACGTGCACAATCTGCAGCACTGAATATAATAATATCGTTATTTATACCATTTTGTAATAAGCGCTCTATTTAATAATACTGAGTAATATGCATATAGCATATATTGAGGGGGGCAAGGGGGTAGCTGGTACAGTTTTACGGGAAAATTTACAATTTACAAAGAAAAAAAGACGTTTTTACAGTTTACAGTGAAAATTGAATTTTGTAGTGAATTGTGTCATTTAGTCGTTTTACAGTTTCGAAAATGTAATTTCCCTAGATTATTCTTTACGACTTTTTTTATTTGGATGTAAATTCTTGTACGTACCGAGAACAATTACACATTTTTACAGTGTACGAAAAAAATATTTGATTGATTACGTTATACGTCTAGCCTGTGATTACAGAATTACGGAATTTATTTTTTCAATTTGTGCGAACAAACAAATATTGCATTTACGTTGAACGAAAATAACCCTCCTTGCCCCCACTATATTTCTCGCACTGCTGCTAGTGATTCAAACAGACCATTAGTGGAAGGTGTGGTGAAAAATGAAGGTAATCTGGGGCAGTTGGGGTGCATTCGCGGTTAACCACCTTTAAGGTACGCTTCCTATTAATTCGCGGGTTCTTCGGCCCTTTCCAATATTATAAGAACCCACGAAATACTCGTGATAGGAAAGTAACCATGTTACCTTTGAGCAAACCAGGGTAATATTTTTCTAACCTAATCACACGTGTTGTCACAAGGCATCGCCCGCATAAAATATAATTGTGACACGACTCCAAGTCACCCTCTGCCATTTTCTTGCATCAATCAGCGTTACTATAGCAACCGTGACGTCAAACAACACAGTTGCTTGTAAACAATTGTCTTTAACACATTGTTAAACAGCGAAGCACTGGGGAAAAGGAAATGTGAACCTATCTGGTTTCAGTGATAAACTAATGTACCCTGGAGAAGAACAGAAGGCCCGGAGGTCGTTTCCTAAGTAATATGACGTTCGCAACACAATACCCAAAAACAATAACTAAACTTTTTTGTTTTCCATTTCCATCGCTGAAATTCCTGAAGCGATCTTTTACGAGCCATGAAAAGTTTCAAATGATCTGCCTGGGTGGGTATATAGTTACAGGCAGACACTGTTTTGTCCAGTATTATTTTGTTCACTAGGAAGACAATTGAGAGATCCAAACAAACATGTGATTTGAGAGGCCCGTCGATATGCAACAAAAGTTACGTCTTCCATAGAGATTTATTTTTCTGCTCGTTGGTCTTCCCGAAGAACCCAATTTCACAAAATTCAGTAATTGTCTAAAAAATTAAGTGTGTATGTCTAAAATGTGCCAACTGTTGTTTTCTGGGTAGTAATTATATTTCAACAAAATTGTGCAACATATTTTTATCTGAATAATTGCATCTCATTATTCGGTAATTTGTTGTGTTTGAACTTGAAAGCAATAAATATACACATTTTTTACATTAGGTAGGTACAATTCAGTATGATGGGTCAAAGGTCGACCCAACCTGAAATCCGGGTTGGCAGTGGGCACTTTATTTCCAGTTTTAAAATAAAATTCAACTGGTCAAGTTTGTACATGTACCAAATTTCATTAAAATGGAAATGGGAAACAATGACTAATTATTATACAAATTAGGTAATTAGTATGCACAGATCTCAGTCAAGAAGTAATCAGGTTTGTGCATTATCTAACATCATATATGTAACAAGTTCCAATTTAAATCATCTAAGTGGTTGTTGAGATATCAGTGAGAAACAAACACACACATACATGGTAAACTCAAACACTCCCTTCACACAAGTTAATAATTGTAATACATTTAAAACCCTTATCAAATAAGTTGAGTGACCGAAATGAGATCTGTGTACCATAGATAAAGTAGTATCTGCTCTGCTCTGCATATCATATTAATTACCTTAGGAAGAGAATTATAAATCAATCTTATCCACTAACACAAAGTTTAAACCGCGGGTCCGGATGTATAAAAGGAAATATGGCCGCCAGACAAGTATCTAATCGACAGACCTAATTTATCTATTTTATAATAAATTTGATGAGGTTCATTATAAAATGTCCCTTGGTAATAAAAACTATGTTGCTATGCTATGAATTTTTGCTTATTTTGAATAGATATGAGTACAGCAACTAATTTGTTATGACGTACTTACGAGTTATTTGGAAGGGAAGTTTGACTATTATTTTTATGCAAAAAAATTGAATCTGGAAGAGATACAAAATATGGAGAAAACTATTACAACCTTATCCATTGAGAACCGAGATTGAATAACAAATGTATGAATGGATAACAATCTAATGATGCAATATATTATCTTTGCATGGTAAAAATAAGTATAAAAGTCCTGAAACAATGTAATAACATATAGGCTAAAAAAATAATAAAAAAATAATAGTACAACAACAAGTCTATGGAAAATTTGGCAAGAAAAATACTAGCCAATGTGTTCTCAAATAATACTACATGTACCATACTATAGAATAACATAATTGTATAAAAAATCCTAAAAAAATAGTACAGCAACACAGTGGCGAATCCAGCAAAATGTATTGGATTCCCCAAGCTTCGCTTAAGATATACGGAGCTTAAATCGCAGAGAAGCTATGCATAATCCAGATAATATGAATAGTCATGTGTTTGGGAGGGGCCATGGCCCCCCTGGCCCCTCTCTGGATCCGCCACTGCAGCAACATATCTAACCAAAATTTGGCAAGAAAAATACTAGCCAATGTCTTATTATTACATGCACTGTATTAATCTCAATGTCACTTATAGAATAACATGAATTTTATAAACATATCTAAAATTTGGCATGAATACAAAATACATACATGTACTATATTAATCTCAATGTACCTTTAAACAGCATAAATTGCATTAACCAAACACTATACTCAAGCAAAATAAAGTATTAGCCAGATTTGAAAAAAAGGTAAGAAACACTGCACAGATTTTTGATTTATACTCATTATAACATTATATCTGTTTATTTCTGACAAATCTTAGAGAGCATATTACTAACATCAGGTGCTCATCAGTATAAATGCTTTTATTCTGTCCACTTATTTCTACTTCTAAAAATGTTTCATTTCAGTTAAATTTTACCCCACTTGCACTTGCAATTTATACCAAAATTGAACTTGAACTTTTATACCAATTGATTTCCAATGTTGAATATGATCAGATAAACGTTATTGTAAAACAATTTTAACTCAAATTTATTAAATATCTTGAAAAATATACATAGAACATGTATCATAATCAAACTTGGCAAAGATCCCAAAATGGTTAATATGAAAATTTGAAAGAAATTGGATAAAAACTGTTATTGTAACCAAAAGAAAATGTTTTATGAGGGCGTCAACTGATATTTTTCCATTCCTATACCTTGCCTTTCAATCGATTTACATGTACTGTAAATTGCACACAAATTTACTGATATGGAAAGATATGGTAACATGCATTTTCAACTCCACATGAGTCTGATAGTCACATTCCCAGTCAGCTCAAAGTAACCATAGCAACACACCACGTTACCCTTTATCTCAGAACCCTGCAACCTACATTACAAGCTTGATTCAATTAAGATTTATTGTTCTAATCTCCACCACTGTCAACCATCCATATCTTTCTTCTGCTACAAATCACTACAATTCCATTTTTATTTTATAAACTTTCAATGATTTGCAATTGTTTCAGTTAGATTAAATCACTGCACAGACCTGAAGAGAAACTTGATACATGAATACAGGAATTACATTGGGTGCCGAAATAATTAATTTTCCTTGGACATTGAGAAGAAACATGTTAAAACATTCTCAGCGGCGTTTGCTATAACTTTGCATTTAACCGTTGGAAATTTGCAAATCACACTATATGATGAGGGCATTTGCTTGTGATCAAATAATTCACTTCGTCCAGGTGAAGAACACTCATAGCATTAAAAAATTCATTTTTTCATGCAATTCCTTCGCTTGAATTCCAATTGAAAAGTTTTCAGAGAAACATCACTTACAAAATCAAGAGCTACAGAGCACCATATTTAACAAGATTCAGAAATATCAGGGGAAAACTACTAGTCCAGTCTGAATATTGACGACAAAATCTTATGATATTCAGCCATAAATTGAATTTGCATTCCCCAATATAACACGTGGGTAAAACGAAAAATTCAAAAACAGAAAAATATATTTTGTATACATGGTCCATTACACCCAGAGCCAAATGATTTCCAAGACTTTTTCCCAAACTTTCTTGCACCTGCCAAAGACATTTTTACCCTTAATTCAAGCCAACATCACCAAAGCTCATAAAGTTCTGAGGATATGGTAGTTCCCTGGAGAAAACAGGCCTTTCTAAAAATGAATTACTAACTATGAAGAAATTTTTCAAAGATTTTTTTATTTTTCCTTTGATTTAAAGACAACTAAAAGACTTTCCAGGCCTCAAAGAATCCAAAGACTTTCAAAGAATTTTCCCAACGCTATGGACCCTGGTATATGATTTTTACCATTCAGCACCACTGGTGAAGGTGCAAATGTCAGAACTAAACAATGCTACGAAAATTCCAAAGGATATTGGAATGTTCCAAGAGAAATAGATGTGGAGATTTTACTTTAGCATCTGCTGCAAGGTGGGAATATTTTACTACTGAGTAGCATTTGTGTACAGTTTCCATGGACAATATATCGGCTTTATTTCCTTCAAAATAGCACTTGTACTTATCAAATGACACACAAATATGATCCCAATAGCAATAATTTTAGACATTTTAGGCATTTTTTCTAATAACTATGTTTGGGTCAAATCGATAAATGAAATTCCGTTTCCAACGAGGTTTGGAAATCGCAAATGTTTTTTTCTACTTTAAGTCAAACTTACTATCACTTCAGCTGTACCCCAGGAAAGATAGCTAAAAACAACAATCTATGTGAAAATTACACAATTTCTTTCCAGAATTTAGTTGTAACGAGCCTGGATAAGTTGACAGATCAGTAATCTCAACCAAATTCATGACTAACACCTCTATGCATTGACTAATGCATAGAGGTGGGTAATGTACTGTGTGGGGTATGTACTTTATTAGTAAACATCTTTTAATTGAGGGGAACACGTGTAGTGGCATGAAGCTAGGCGATTAGGTGCCGTATGCGAGCGCCGGTTCGAGTCACGCACGCAGTACGTGTTCACTATAATTAGACGTAGTATTTACCTTGCCGTTTATTCGGTGTTATTTGCTTACTTTACTTCCTATGTCGACAGCAACTACATGTATGAGTTTTAATTATTAAAAGATGGTTGCAAGTATTGGCTATGGCTGTGACAAAAAAATGTATGCAATAAAGTGAGAACAAAATGAACAGCGAATAGAAGGAAAACTTTTATTTACATGTGCAACGTTACATAGGCGTGCGTGCCTGCCTGCCTGCGTGCCTGCCTGCGTGCGTGCCTGCTTGCCTGCATGTGTGCATTCTAGTCTTAATGTCTTTAATGTCTGCTTTATGTGGCAAAAGCTGGCCAGGTCTTCACTTTCACAACAAAAACCTAGGTACTCGTAAAAGACGACATAATATAGGCAGAGATATGCAAAATATTATTCACTCTCAAACATTTTAGTTTAAAATTATAACTACAAGTTGTATTCTTGCCTTTGTGACTAAATATGTATCACTGATGTACTGAACACTAGAAAAACAATAAATATTTATCTCATAAATGACTAATCACATTGATGTTGGAGAAAGAAAATTCATTTCCGGTTTTGAAATAAACCGATTTTTTACTTTCTGGGCTCCATCTACAGCTGAAGTCTTTGGGGGGTTATCAGGGGGAAAGAAATCCATGTCTTCTCTCTGGTGAAAGAAACTCTTTTTATTTGCTGTGAAGCCCCCTTGGACAACTCTTTGCATCAAACCCAGCTGTCTTGCATCATCCTCTCTGACACACGTGTGCTCAGGTGGATGCTGAAACTCAGGACCAATTCCAAACAGTTTCTTCACGTTGGACTGAATTAGGACTGGTACACATTTCATATTCTCCTCTTGCAAATCATGTCTGGCTCTGTCAGTGAAAATGAAATGCATGTACATTATGAAAGATTACAGAAGATGTACATCCTATTTCATGTATATACACGGGTTTGGACTTCAGATTCTAGAAAGCATCCAATTTCAAGACTAAAATTATTGCAATTGGCTTAGAGTTATATATAGGAATACTATAGGGAATATTTTAAAGATACAAAACAGAAAACTCAGAAAATGCAAGTCCTGTATATGACAAGTTCATATGGAGTATACAATAAGTAAATATTTAGGTTCTACTTTTTGAACATTTCAATCTTTCTGCCAAGCTTAAACACTGATATACCAATGTTTATATGCATGTCTAACTTAAGCCTGTTCACAATAGAATAATTTTATAAAACAAATCTTAAGCCAGCTTCAAACCTATGAGCTGATGTAACAAATATACTCCACACATAAACAACACTAGACATCAGACAGCGAATCACATTTAGTCCAGACACTATGAGATCAGTACAAGATAACAAATTCACGTACATGATTCTGTAGTAAACTGTAGGTCAATAAGATCAATAAACAACAATAACTTGCACACGAGGTAAATCAAAATTGAAAACACCTTGCACACTACATCGACGTCATCACTCTGCACAAGATCATGAGGCTAACCACAGGGGCTTGTCAACTGATGGCGAATCCCCTAGTTCGAGTGGTCAGTTGACAAGCCCATGTGAGGCTGACCAAAGGCAAGAGGTACGAATGTGAATTGGACAAATCAACTTGAATTGATTGTGAATCGGTGAAGCAGCAATGCTTAAAATGCCTGGGGAGGACACACTCACCAGGTAACATGCAATTGTTTCAGTGAAATCTTAGTATGGAAATAACATGCAGCAACCTATAATTACATGTATATATAACCAACCTTAATCTTGGTGAATGCTTTGGAGTGCACACTGGAGATGGATTCTCTGATACTGGAGTTTGCTGCCCACTTGCTATAACATCAACATCAGGGAGCTGAACTTTAGAGCCGTCGGGTAAAGTGACTGTAGCAAATTCCATTTCTTCATCCAAAAGAGGAAAACTATGTTGACGAGATAGAAAACGTGACTGTGTGGCTGGAACAACAGTAACTTCATCCTCAGAATCGGTCACTGGTGGTTCATACATGTGTGCTGTCTCATCACTTGTGGATATCAGCTCATTTTTTAAATCTAGGAAACGTGATGTCTTTTCATTAGTATCATCTGCGCTACTTTTTTGGCTGATCCCGTAAGGCATTACTTCAGTATGCGAAGGAGATGGAGACACATCAGCATGTGAAAGGGATTTCTTTTTCAAGAACTCATCTCTCTGTTTCTCTACCCCTTTATCTTTATTGGTTGACCTGATTCTGCTATCAACAGATCTGCTTCTTGGGGTCTTCCTTCGGACATTAGTTGAGGGTTTACTTTGTTGAAGATCCCTCTCTTCCTCCTCAAGAATAAGTTCATATTTCCGAGGATGTGCTCTCAATATACTGCTAAAATCAAACATTTGCGATAAATTACTACGAGATGAAATTGGCGATTGAACTTTATCATCTATGTCATATCGCTCTGGTCGAGTGATTTGCATTGTTGACTGAAGACTTGGAACATCAGGTCCAACATCATCTGCTGTATCCATTTTGTCAGGAGTTCTCAGAAGTCTGATTTTGCTGAAAGATATTACCAAATAAAATGAAAATAAAAAGCTCATATTTAACTAGCTTTATGGACATGCAATATCAGGATGGAAAACAACCTAATCATTACTCTTGGATTAAACTATTGTGTTCCTTGTAGTACACATGAATATCACGTGCATACAGCCTACATCACACATGAGTTGTATGCACATGTACATGTATGATTATTGGCTGGGCAAAGTCCAATTACCACTCTCAGACAGATTATATCTCAATAAAAAGCACATAATGTAAATAATGTCAGTCACTTTTATTAGATTTGGTTATTTTTAAGTGACTCTATCCAAACTTTGATGGTGTATTTAAAATAACAAAATCCATATCTCAGAAATTCAGTTGTCTCAAATTAGCTTGAACATGTTCAACCCAAAGAGTTCCTTTTGTACTCCCATCCCTAAACCTAACTCTAACACTCACTTCCAGTTACCAAATTCATTTGTATATGCCCTCTAGATAACTATAGATGTCCTCAGGGGCATGTATAATTAAATGGGGAGTGCTGGAGGGTAGGAGTAGAGTTAGGGTTAGGGATGGGGGGTACAAAAGGAACTCTTTCCAAAATAGCAAATAGTTTCTGATCATTTGCCATATTTTTTTATTTAAAACAGGAAATTTAACGGAAAACATTTTTAGGACAAATTTTGGGAAAAAACACAGCAAATTGCTGATGTCCAGTGAGCATCTGAAATCACTTTATCAAAATTATTGCATCATGTCCCTCATAAATTATTCATACACTCTTAAGTACACTTTTGGGTCACTTTTTACCTTTCGTGTGATGCAACTTTAGAGTACTAACGTGAATATCCTAATACATGGGTAAGGTATCAATAAAGATTACTATTATTTAACCCCCCCCCCCCCCCGCATATTCTCATAAGTCGATGACATCATGGAACTATAAACCATGATGACATGATAGTTCCATGATGACATAGAACACTACATTATGCAAATGAAATTATTATTTTTTCAGGCAGTGGAATGCCAACTAAAAATCACCCTTTCACCTAAATGAGCATACTAACCTCGACAGATGAAATCCACTAATTTCTACAGCATCACAATAATGTCAAAGCAGACTGGGTGTATTTTGAAAATAAATCATCGACATCGTCATCGAGGTGAAAAAAAAGAGCAAACGGTGACACAGTTCACATACAATCAATTGTGAGTACATTTGTGACTTCTCTTCGTTGTGGTATCTCATACTCTATACGTAGACATCGAGGAGATATGTGAATTTGCATTGTTCTGCTAAATTTGCACGAAAAACAAATCACACAGCTAGAAATTCCACCATTACAAAATGGAACTTGGTTGAATAAGCAGCTGTCACGTGATCTCCGACGATTCGGCTGCATCCTTTTTCGCGGAAACAAAAATAAAAACAAAAAATTGTACACAAAAAGATTTTATTTATGTTCAATATTCTATTAAATAAGAAATGATCATATAATTTAGTGTACTATAATTAAAATTGAAATCTATAGAGATACTCCAGCAATCACCACATAACACTCCTGGGAAGAGGTTATTTAGACAATATGGCGGCGCAGTGGTTCAAAAATCTGGGGGTCGCAGGTAAAACTGTTGTTGTTCTCAGCGCAGGCGTAGCCGTTGCTGGTGTAGGCTGTTACTTGTTTCACAGAAATAAGGATTCATCCGAAGATGATATGGACGGTACATTTGAAGTCCTGACGACGGTAATAATTGTCTTACTCACAGTTTCGATTCCAAAAGTTTGTGTATTGATATATAAGTGGCCGCACTCGTTATGCGTTGTACTATTGAAATTACACAAATAGCAATACTAGTAACTAGTTAAGTAAGTTTCTTATTGAAACTCTGTCCTTCTATTAAACCGCATGCCATTCTAGTTGTCCGTGAACTGTCACTAGTTGTTACTCATGGCAACCATATACATGAGAATATTAAGGTATTTGAAAGACATCAAAATTAGAATGACATATACATATGCTATAGAAACAGCAACCAATTAATTAAGGGGGTGTGTGTGTGGAAAAGGAAAATGTTCACGTCAACTCAGAACTGCATAATACATGGTTACTAAAACTTTGCATAATATAATTGGGAAGAATTGAAATAAAAATAGTCATCAGGCATTCTCGCCGCCGAGTAGTTTATTGAATTACTAAAAATAGTACTGATGTATCTAATAGAATGTGTGTGAACTGTGGAAAAAGTTCATGCTCCAGTTGAGCGGAATTCAAGATGACGCAACATATGATTCGTGTGTCACCGCTGCTCAAAATGACCCGAAACAAAGTTAAACCATTTTCAGTTCATTGCCAGAAAATGATTGTCTTATCATTGAACAACATTCCGAAAATATATTATCATGAATGAGCTGTCTCGCTTCGTATAATTTGTGAAACAAACAAACATACAAAATGGCACCACCCATTGACTGGAAGTGCACCATTCTCAAACTCTTGGGGTATACCGGTACTAGTATATAGATTTCTTCCATATTCTTCTATATATACATGTACACATGTTATCTATAGAGCTCACTTTACGAGCGGCCTTCAGTTGCTCTTGCTATTATTGAATTTGTTCAATCTAATCAGCAATCTCTTTGTTTTGCTAATTAATAAGTGGGTGGTTGCAGTTGCTATGTCACTTGAAGGCTTGCCATGAGCATAGAAAATGTAGAGCTTCTGAGCGAATTTGAATTTGAATGAAAGCTGATGATTAGTATTATTCGTGTTCAGGCTACACCTAGTACCGGTAGGGGCTAAGATTTAAGCTAATCTCATATGCATATTGGCTAGACCCAATTGCGTTCATGCACAGGAGGGAAAAACATTTAGCACAGGCTAATGCACAATCAAACTTGTTAAGAATACAGATATATACAAATCTTCTTTTAAGTATTACTCAGTACAGTAAACTGGAAGGTATACATGTTAGTTCTATGGTTATAAAACAATGCCAATTCAGAAAGTGTAGATTGCGAAATAACAGGAAGTAACAGTCCATTTTTTCCCCCCAAGAAATGAATAATGTCTTGATGTGCTCATATTGGATGTCACGTTGGAAATGGGATACCAAAATGAATACTTGTGAATATAATAGTAAATTTGTTTCTTTAAGAAAATATTTTTTCCTTATTTACTTTTCTGTGAATGATAATGTTTTAAAGTTCATGCCTTACATCGCCTTCACAGATTTGTGACTTTTACCTCTTGAAGAATGAGCACTGTTAATTTCACTTTTAAAATCTCTATGCACAACATGGAAAAATGGACGGTATGTCACACCCACAAATATGGACATACATGTAGTTTGTATTATTTCAACTCTTTGACAACTGCAATGCCGATGTTTACACCAGAAATGTTTGCGTGAGGATTACCTATCACTAAGACAACAGTGTTACCCAAGTACTTCCATATATACGCAAATAACAAGATATAAATTACTGTGGAATAATTTATTTTTGTTGGAATTAATTTTCGCTGAAACGGCTTTTTGGGCGTTTTGTATGTAATTTATTTGTATGATTTTTGATGAGTTGAATGTGAAATATAGGAAAAAAGTATATTCGCTATTCGCTGGATTTTATTTTCACTGAATTATCCTTTCAGCGAAAATAGTGAAAACAAATTCCAAGCGAAAATATAGTATTCTACAGTATATGTTTTTGCAGTATTTCAAAAAACAGCCTAGACAACCCAACACACTTAATTTGATATACACAAAGATTATTTTGTAGCAATTAAGAAACATGCCTGCATCAGTGTAATATTTGTTATGTCGGCTGCATTGAGAGTTAGGACAATGTGAGAGGCAACAGCAGCTAAAGTGTTGTAGTGTTTTTTTCATTTGCAATTAAAAATAATAAGACAAATGGACAATAAAGTGTAAAGTCTGTAATTGGTGAAAATCTTTGGTCATATACGTTTGGTCATGATTCATAATTTCTACTATTATAGCAATGACTCGGTCACATGCCCGATGCAACACGTACATGTACATTTTTTTTGTACATGATTCATTCACAATTCATAATTCTTGATATTGCTACAGCCAGTAGTTCTCGCTATTTAGTTTGTGATGTCTTCGATATTACAAAAACAATGCAAAAAGTAAAAAGGTGTGTTAAAAATATTACAAATAAGATAAATACATTGAAATGAAACTAGGAGTTTTTTATTTACCAGTATAATACCTTTTACAATAGTCTAAATTATCATTGTAGATAATCAAATGTGCACTTGAAGATGTCAGCAATTTGTCACAAGACATATCACCACGTCAAATTATTGTAATTATTCATTTTTGTTTAAATTCATATTACCAGACCCGTTTAACAGCATAATTCGTGCAGGGGTTTTTCTGAACAGGGGTGCAGCGCCCTGATACTTTCAGCCGGCGCCCTCTTACCAAATTGCTGATTGACCTTTAAAAGGCATAAATATATTTCTTGAGCAGCGCACTTTTGTGCTACCGTACAACATGCAATTTTTTCAAATCTATTTTCCTCCATGAAAACTTCCCAGCAACACTAACTGACAATGATTCTGGACACCAAATACACTCAAAGTACTCTAAAAATATTTAAATGGCAATAGATACACAGTTAAAACGAAGCAGAAACCTTCCGATATGGTCGACCCGACATGTTGTTTTTGTACTAGCTTGGTCGCTCCGCTTCCTCGCCTGTGTGTGCTCCCTGTTGTTCATTTTTTTCATTGTTTGTAGTCAAAGGTCACAACCCAAAAACATGACATCAAAGTAAAACCTTTTATTTATTTATTGACTTGTGTAGTGACCTTTGAAATAGTACACTGTATGATCATTTGTTTGCCCATTTTACAGGAAGACGATTCGCCAGAAAAAAGAGTTCTTGTACTGGGACTGGATGGTTCTGGGAAGACTAGTATTTTATCATGTCTAGCAAACCAAGAAAATAAAGAAGAAACTAAGCCGACTGAAGGCTTTCATGTTATTGTAGTGCAGTCTGAGGGTGTTACACTCAATGTTTGGGAGAGTAAGTTTTCTTTAGCTTTAAGCATTGAACGGCAGAGGGTTTAAAAAGGGGGGGCAATATTATCATACGTGTACCACCAAGTCTACAACTTTATCGCTGTGTTCCATAGTGAAACTCGAAACATATGTACTGATATTTTCTAATTTATTTTGCTTATAAACATGAATAATACACCAAACTGTGCATATCAATAAGTTTTGGTCATCACCTACCTTCTCACAAGCTTCATTTGAGCTATATTATCATTTATTTATCACATGTAATTTTTTGTACCTCAAAATTCTCTACCAAAACTATGCTAAAATGGCTACCAGAGTGATGCATCAGTTGATCATCACGTCAAATAAACCACAAGTGTGATATGCCAGTAGTTTATGTTTTACATGTAATGGCATACCAAAATGCAAGCCATGTAAATGATTCTCTATTTGAGAAAATTACCTTTTTTTTGTTTCTGTATTTTCCTTGATACTACCTCATACTAAAATTTATATAAATATTTTTGACAGGTATACAACGAGATATTGCGCAATTCACAATATTTATGCCCAAGCCACAGACAAGTGCATGTATGAAGTGAATTCAGTAATACTGTAATTCTGAAATATGGAAATAATTTTAAAGCAAGTGCTTGCTCCAAAACATCGCTCTGATCTTTATCAGCTAAATACATACAGCAGATACTGTATTTGCTCTGATAGTAGTGCATCCCGAATAAAAGTGCATAAACACCAACATTTCATGTTTATTGTATACTGGTTCCTATTTTAACCATAGAAACACCTGTTTAATTTGCGTAAGTGCATGCACTACTAATGGAACTAATAGAGCAAATAGAGCATAGAAAAAGTATTCAACACTTTTCATGGTGATATAACAGCTCCTTGTCAAAACTTACTTACCCATTCACGCTAGTCACAATAAAGCATTGTATTTTCAAATAGGCGTCAACAATTATGAAACACCAAAATTGTACTCTAACTTAGGCGTCATGAAAGATTGACATTTTCCAAACGTGACGCCTAAATTAGAATACTAGCGGAGGTTTACCTCAGTTTGCTTGGCCTAAAATTTTCATTTTGTCCGCAGTTGGTGGTAGAGAAAATGTACGCTCATATTGGGATAACTTCATCCAGGACACACAAGTTTTAACATTTGTGGTGGATTCTACTGATACCAATAGATTTGCACTTGCCATGGATGAACTGAGAAAGGTTTTATCCGATGAGAGGATGGATGGAGTTCCAGTTATAGTTGTCGCAAATAAACAGGTAATCATGTCAACCTTTTGAATTTTTTTTTTAAACCTCATCTGTAAATCTTGATTGATTAGAAAAAATGTAAGGTTAATTATAATAAACATAAGAATACTACAGAATCTCACATGCAGTAAGTTATAGTGTGTACAAGAAAGAAGTACTGGGTAGTGCAGCCACCTTTTCAAACATCACATACATGGAACATGCCTTACTTTTAGGTATTGACTCTATATCTTGCAATAGAAGATAGAGTCTTGCAATAGAAGCCTTTTCAGGAATGCAAATTTCCAGATTTTATTAATTTTCCAATAAATTGTATTTCGAGGCATTAAAAAGGTTGACTGATTATTAATGATGAGGTATGGTTGTCCTAAATTATTTCAAAAATCGGGGTTTTAAAAAGTGTCATAAAATGCAAACTTTCTTTAACATTGTGCTGCATGGAATTATTTTAAAAATAGTGATTTCTGAAAAATATTAGGGACAAGTTTCTCAAAATATGTCACTAGAACACACGCAAGAATGCTTTTTTATGGTGCGATGGGACAATAGCTTAAATATTTTACATAATAGACCAATTAACACTGTCATGTGGTTTATGACAAACTCTCAACAATTATGAGTACCGATAGGCTTCTACATTAACGAAAGTTTGTATTGTGAAATGAAAACCGTCCAACAATGTAAAGAAACAAAGGCAACTTTTGAAACATATTTAATTTTGTTTGTGTTGCACACTAGTTGATGCCAGTATACAGCCTTGGATGGGCATCATTCTTAGATTATTACAGATTCTATTTTCTTGTACCATTCGTTTTATATACCCCAATGTGATCATTTCTATGCAAGGGATTATTTTCACAGGATTCATTTGTCTGATTTACAATAAAAGTACTATTTTCATTGCTTTTTTTAGGATTTACCTGGAGCAAAGAATGCAAGTGAAGTTAGAGAATTTTTAGATCTTCAGTCAGTTGCGAAAAACCGAGAAATCCATGTAGTTGAGACACAAGTACCGCTTAATTCTACACAGTTAGGCGTCAAGACTCTAGAAGAGCTGCTAAATAAACTCACAAAACATTCAACATAAATAAACTATCAAGATATGATTCATTGTTCACCAAGTACATGTATATTTTTTTGTGGGATTACTTTTAAACTGTAAAAAATATCTTAATTGCACATTGCAAGGGCTTTTGGGGTTTCATCAAAAATAGTAAAAATCTTTATCACAGTTAGTGAGAATGAGAGTTTTCTTGTAAAGGGACTTAAAAGGTGTACATACATTTCTGTATAAAGGATAGGTACCAATCTGTTAATTTCAGAAAACTTTACCATGATAAAAGTAGTAACACACCACCTGCTGAAAGCCTCCACGGATCACCAAAGTGAATAAGAAAAAAAACCAGGGTCAGCAGGTGATGTTTTAATGCACTAAATTTATGGTATATGATAGTTATAATTCTCAAAGAAGAATGGCTGATTTTGAAAACCTTGGTGACTGACGCGCATAGATGTCACGCTTAATTGGCATTCGATTCGTAAGTAAAGTTTTTTGAAATCACGATATTTCTGTTATTTTGATACTCAATTGGTCATGTGATAAAAAGGTTATCACCTGATATTGCTATTTGTAGAGCTGGTTTATGCTCATGGTGGTTATAGGATTCATTGTCCGCACACTTTGGTTTATCGATAATACTCTCCTCTGACATCACTTGTATTAACTATCTCTATGAACAAGTGATATATTGTCATGACCTCATAATAAATGCTTGATTATTTGATATATTGATTTTTAATGCAATTTTTCATTTTTTTTAAACTTTGTTTGAAAATATTTTTTTTTAAATGTATTTTTTTTTTTTTTCAAATCAGGTATACATGTATCATTTCTCCATAACCAAATGTTTAACACATTGCCAGCTGAAAGCTTTCACAAATAGCTGAAATGAATGGGGAATTTCAAATAGCTGAAATAAATGGGAAATACAGTGTCAGTAGGCTGTGTGTTAAGTTACCAATTATTAGCTCAGGACATTGTACCTTTTATGTCTTCCAAAGGATTGTATTTTCAAGCTGACTATAATTGAGTAACAGTCACCAACCCCTCTGTAGTTCAAGAAGAACACTGCTCAATATGTTGTCATAGCCATCTTTTATACACTAGGCCAACTATTTAAATCTTGTTAGCTTGTCACCAGAGCTTTATGGAGAGTCTGAGAATTGCTGGCATCATAACTCATTTAATTAATCTATACCCCGTTTGCTGTGCAGTTCATTCCTATTGATATGTGTTGTGTACATGTATGTATATTTTGTTATTTGATGCAATCTCTCCAGAAAGTGTATATCTACATTGCAACAGCCATCTAAAAGTAGTTGCTTTGTGCATATTCTCATTTGGAGCAACTCATAGCATGCACACACACGGTAATGATAATAGGAGCATGCCTTTCCCTCCAGTTGCATGTGGCAATCTAAAGCCGACACATCACTGTACCTTGACCACTAAGATATTTGGTTTGTACATTTCCTTTTATAAATACGAGAATTTGTACATGTAATTACAGTTTAATTATGTAATAATGATTTAAATGTTTATCACTGGTTGTATCACTTTTATTTCAGCTTTTTTGTATTTGTAGCCACACTGGCTTATCATGTACCAATATGTTCCCCACGATTCCATGTTCTTTTCAAAGAACTTGCCACTTTAGAGATACTGCACAGAACATAACAACTTTTAATCCGATTAAAATATAAACATGGGTACTGTTTGCCCCTTTCTTACCTCTAAATACACATAACATACCATATTTGTTCTATTAGTAGCAAATGCTAACTGATGGAAGTGCGTCTAAAGTCAAAGTCATATTTAATATGTAAACTGTTGATTTACATTCAATTTTAATAAAGCAAATACCACATTCTGGACATCTAATGTACGGTAGTTCATACCAGAAATCCTAATTGCTTGTTGACAAAAGATATCCCACAGTTTTAATATGCATACAGCAAATGAGGAGCCCACACATTTGTGGATAATCACTAATAACAATTTTCATATTTGAAATTTAGTTCTGAACTCTTCATGTGTTAAAGTCGCTCAGGTAATCAAACGAATTGCTATGGAGAAGATAAAAGTACATGTGTATTATTAGAGAACACTTGTGTTAATTGAATGTGTAGACTTTCAACAGTCCCTCTAGCCTAATGTTTTTTTTTTTAATTTAAAATGCTGCAAATGCATTATCACGTTTGATTAAATAATTTTAGTTAAAAAAATAATAAACACTAGGACAGAGGAACTGAACTGTTGACAGTCTATTGAAAATGCATAGTGTAGATTTCCTGACATTGAAATCTTCTAAATTTCAGTTTTAAAGTATTAATTATTAACTAGTTAACATTTATAAATACTGGAAATTTTTGCTGTAAATCCTGAAATATTCTCATCTGTTTTGGTGTTAATTTGTTAATGTATAAATGATTTGATTTGTGATGTGCTGTGGGAAAACCATGAATAAAATAAGATTTGGTTAATCCTCAATCATAGTTTGTCTCTGATTACACTTGATATTAGGTAACAAAATCTGTAATTGGATAGTGAAAGTTCTACCCCAAAGCACAGTCCCTCAACACCCTCAAAAAGGCCCCTGGAATGCTGCAGTTGGGGTTCGCAGCAGTCCAGGGCGCCACGTATGCCAACTTGTCAGGCTACGTCAAAGACAGCCAAGGGGCGTGTTCAGATTCACATACTTTAAACATACTTCTAATCTTTGCAGATTTGGTTGATGCAGTAAAAATATGCTTTCAATGTCATGTGATAGGTATTAAATATTAATCAAATGACGAAGCATAGACCCCATTGTATAGGAAATTGCATTTTCACAGTGGCGATGCCAGCCATTTTGCATACGAGGGAGGAGATTTAAATAACCTTTTCACTATCAGTTCCCTCTTCACAAGTTCACAAAATAGTACGGTACAATTTATAGCCAATATTTTTGAGTAAAAACTGAAAGTTTACTCAAATTTTGTCTGTTGGCTCCAAAATTAGGGTTCATTTCCAAGAATATAAAAAAGTGCAGAAAAATTTGGGCAAAATTGTCTGGTGAGGAAAAGGTTAAATAAATCCTATTGTATTTTCTACAAAAACCCACCATGGTTGCTGCGTGCGTATGTTATGCAACTCCCTTTGTGCAGATGAACTATAGACCAATGATCAGTTCAGAAAACTCTACTTGGATGTACATTGTGCAAAGAACATGTGCATGTGTACTTACATGTACAGGCCACTCGTTTCACTCTGATGCATGTTCCAATATTTAGCTCCGCTGTCGACTTTGTTGAGCGGAGCTTATCATTGTCCGTCGTCGTCCGTGTCAATGTTTTACTTTTTCGACTTCTTCTTGAAAACTACAAGCCTGAATGTTTTGATACTTGGTGTATACATGTATGTACCTTGGGGAGACCTCTCTTAGATTTGTTCATTTCATTTTGGTGAATATTTTTGTCATTTTTGATAAAAAGTAATTTTTTCGACTTCTTTTTAAAAACTGCAAGTCCAATTGCTTTATTACATATATAGGTACAACATGTGGATCTCTCTCAGATTTGTTCATTTTGTAATGATATCTTCAATTTTCTAATTTTAGTGAATATTTTTGTCATTTTTGGTAAAAAGTGATATTTTCAACTTCTTGTTAAAAACCGCAAGTCCACTTGCTTTGATATTACATATATAGGTACTACATGTGGACCTCTCTCAGATTTGTTCATTTTGTAATGATATCTTTAATTCCCTAATTTTGGTGAATATTTTTGTCATTTTTGGTAAAAAGTGATATTTTCGACTTCTTGTTAAAAACCACAAGTCCAATTGCTTTGATATTACATATATAGGTACTATATGTGGACCACTCTCAAATTTGTTCATTTCATGATGATATCTTCAATTCTCTAATTTTGATGAATATTTTTGTCATTTTTGGTAACAAGTGATATTTTCGACTTCTTGTTAAAAACAGCGAAGCTATCTCAGCCGAGAGGCTGCTTGTTTGTAGATAACTTTGAATTGAATAGCTGAAAACAACTTTTGTCCCATTCATCACGAGTAAACAACTTTCGTCACATTCTTCATGAGAGAACAAGCTTTGTCTGAAACTGGACAGGAAGTTGGTCAGTTTAAAAAACAGAAACTAACCAATTCTAGAGGCATACTTAGAACAACAGCAACAAGACAAAGAGTTGTATAACTTTTATATAACCATGCTGTTGTGGGCAGACTTTTAAAAAACACCACAAATCCAAATTTATGATGTGCAACGCAGACTTTGTGTCTTGGGTGATGTATACATGCACATTTTGCCATTGTACATGTACTTACGGTACTTTCTTTCTATGCATCACCACTACCAATATTTAATGATAAAGCAATTTTCAAAACATCTTATGTTGTCACCTAAGTATGCAATAACCTAGACTAAAGTCTTTACATTAGAATTGGTTCTGAATAGTCCATATATCAGAGGAAGATCAAATCTCGGAGCTATATGCTCATGAAGAATATCCGTCTTGTAATGAATAACGCGTGTGCAGAGAACAAATTCATTTCAATGTTGTAAAAAAGGACTGCGTCTAAATGGAAGGTGTGTCACACGGTTACACCCACCATCAAACAGCCAGGTGTAGTAAAGTATCGTAAAAAGTACTTGTCTGCTGTACTCCACAACGAATGTCCAAAACAGGGACTTGTGTTATGGAGCCGGTTCATTTGTCAGTGTGTGTTTCTGTTGATCTGACATTATTTCGAGCATTAATGGATTTCACTCAAAGACAAGTCATAAAAGTTACCATATACATGTACATGTCAATTTTTTTTCATTTCATTGATCTTTTATCGACTGGCAGCTACTTTTGTCCCAAAAATTTAAGAACCATTTCAAAGGCATGCATAGGCTGATTGGCATTGTTTAGTTATTTTTAGATTTGGATAAAATTTATTTGATTGGAGATAAATCTTTGATATGGAATGTCAGTATAATTTTTCTGATAAAACCTTTGATTTCACATTCAATTTTCCATGAAAACTCAACACAACATGTGAATTTACCATGGAAATGCATCAGAGCATGCCCTGTTGTGTTTGATTTCATGACAGTGTATACAAGTTTCTATTAGGAATTCTACCATTGTGTAATGGAGAAGTGACTGCTGAATTATTAAACCTAGGATGGTGAAGATGTTGTATGAACTGCTGAAAAATAAAGGCAGTAATTCAGCCATACCAAATGTTTAACTCAGGCTGGACAACTACTGAAATCAAATCAAGTAATTTTTGAGTAAGGTTTAAGTTGCGAGAAAAAGCAGAACAGTATAAAAGCATTTCCTCAAATGTACAGGCTGAAAGTTATCAAACTCAGTGAAATCATTATCGTCAAAACAATAATATACATAATCACAGATGCAACAGGTACATGTATATGTTAATATCTGAGGCAGAGACTTGATTCCCCTCCCTCTTCCACATAAAATACACTACTGCTCATGTAGAAATTCTACCACACACACACCTGGCAGACTTTAGCTGTCCCAGGGATTGCATGAACTGCCTAGTCTGGAAAAGGTGAAAATTTAAAGTATCTACCAGTATTTACTTGCCAAATGATGGGAAAAAAAAAATATTTGTATTATGATAATTAGCACATTAATAGCCATAGTGATTTGTCTCCCTAAGCTAACAGCAACATTCAGCTATGACTGTCAATGTGCTAAAGTTGAATTCCACGTTCCCACTGATTAATCACTATGAAAAATGATACAATCAGTTGGTTTGGCAACAAATCCTAAAATACTGAAGGTCATTGTTTCTAATCATCAAATCAAACATTACTCATTGTCACAAATCACAACTCAACATTCGTATGATGCTGATACATGGGACATGGTTTTCTATGAAACATACAAAGTGGGATAGCAACTGTATAGCAAAATTTAAATAATTACTGTAAAGTTCTTGAACGAAACAGATACTCAATTGGCAAATTCCTGTTTTCCAGGATATAATAAAGTTTCTTCACAGGGTACACAAGAACCTTGCACGCAAGGAATTGTTTGGAGTGTATGTACAGTCACAAATGAATATGACAGATACAATGATATTTGAATTACTAGTAACTAATTCACAACTTCTTTGCTTCAAAAGATCAATCATTTGATATGTTTTGAACATACCAGTTTGAAAATTGTTGTACGCTGCACCAGACTATACTATTACCAATACATGCATGAAAAACATTTCAAAATATCTGAATTTGGCTGACAACTTGTCATGCTTTCCCAACTAAAGGAGCACATAGATCAATAAATGTAAAACAAGACATGAATGTTACAGTCCCTGTCATTTAATTATAAAATACTTGTGTTTAAATAATACATGGAACATCTGCAAACAATTGAATTAATGTGTACTCTATGTGGGTACAACTCATCATAAAGTGATTTCCCTTAATCTGATAACTGAAAACTATCATTGACCCCGGTCCAAAATCTCAAAGTACACAAGTGCAACCAAACTATGTCTCATACATGCTCAAGAAACTGCATTCATAAATCTGAATAATCCTTGATGTACCTTTACCGGTAATAACAACTTGACTTTGTTAATTCAGGTCTTTGTATATTACCAGGAACTGGGTCTGTTCCAGCATCACCACTATAATTCCCATCAAAATGTAGCCCTGACTCCCCTCTACATTTTTCTACTGAGATTGGTAATGATACGACCCATTTGTCACTGATTCAGAGCATTACAGTCTAAGCTAATTATTTATTCTGAGCATGCTCAGTTGTTCTCTCAGTGCAGTGGGGAGAGGATGAAAATCATAAAAAAGACCCACTTAGGATTTTCAGATCTGGGAAAAAAAATTATGTGCATAAGCGACTGAGACTGGTTCATCAACCTGCCAAGTTTCATCGATATCTGCTTCAGAATTTCTGAGAAAATGTTAGAGACGTCACAGAAAGAAAATTGAAATAAGAATAGTCCGCCTTTCAGGCTGCCTGAAACAGGGACTAAAAAGAACAAATTTTTCTATTCTTAAATGTTGGGGTTTATTTGGACAACAGAATGTTTACCATTTGATTCATAGAAATGTAGTCGCCATTTATAATAAAAAATCCCCAATAGTTGGTACTCGTATATTGTTGAGCTGAGTTTATCTGAGGTAACTACATGCGCCCTCACATGACAAAAATTGGTTAATCTTTTTTCTTTACAAAGAGCTTGGTAAGGTCAAAAAAAGAAAGATTTTGCTTCTCGTCCTAGGGATTTTTTTTTCGTATTAAGATTATACTACAACAAGATACAAGTTAAACATTTATTCCATAATACTCTTGAATACATGCGTTAAAGCTTGATTTGGAGCAACAAAACATCCCCCGAAACAAAACATTTACCCATTCTATATGTGAAAGACTCTACTATTAAAGAAAATGCATGAGGTCAGGTTTCAAATTGACAGTCAAACACACAATGACAATAAGCAAAACTATTTTTTTTTTGGCCAAAGCAGAAATTGGGACAGAAAAATGGACACACAACCTAAGAATGGTATTGTTTTAACAAGTTATGAACTAATAGAATGAATTTCTGAACATTTGAATGATCTCAGGACCAGTGTTTACTTAATCTGATTAAAATCTGATGTAAGTAGAGGTTAAATGTCCATCACTGGTGTACATCGCCCAAAGCTCTATGCAAGTTGTGTTCAGTTCTTGCTGGTCCAACAATCAATCAAAACTGATAATACACTTAGGGTTTCTAGCAAGACACACTCAGATTCTAATTGGTTGACAAATCTCATCAGAGGAAAGCTCCTAGAACATGACTAGTTGGACCGATGTAGTTAAAGGCGATGTACACCAGTATCCAAAATTAAGAGCAGCTAGAGCCTCGACATAAAGCAGATTTTAATGAGATTGGTTTTTACATTGAGAAGACGCTGCCAAATGCATGCTTACCCGGTAATTTCATGCAAATGCTAGTACATGTAGAATCCTATTGTTGTGGTGGTTTAATTAAAATTACAGGAATTGTCAGTCAGAAAAACTGGTACTGTAGTAAAAAGAAATTACTGTTGACCACACTAAAAAACATTATTTCAGATTTCTGATTCCTGGGAACAAAAATGCATGACAAATCATACTTGACTGTTCTTGCGTGGATAGGATGAGATGTTCACATCATGTCACATCATTTCATTAACAGCAATAAATTAGTAATTACACAGAGAGGAGTATATATTGTCTGTATGTTGTTTCACTTTTTTATCTGGCCAGGTCCTTTAGAAGCTCCTAGTGCTATGCCCATGATCAGAGCTATTACTGTAAATCCTTGTGCACCTATACGCATTCTCATCATCATCTGTGAGTTTCTAGTGTTTCCTTTTCTGAACTGTACAAGGCCCCATGTTAATGCAGTGGTCGTTGCCAGCATACCTGAAATCAATTAACATACATGTGTTGTTAGAGTAAGACACATGTGAACTTCAATAATTTGACAAATTAACTAGAGTAAGACACTGCTACATGTATACTAGCCCATATATTGATTTACTAGTATATGAAACATTTCACAGTCCTGTTGTTTGAGGGCGCCCACACATGCACATTCGTGTATAGACAAAAACTGTGAATCTGTACAGTCATGTCATGATATTTTGTTATAAATGCGTCAAACATTTATATCAGATATTTATGTAATGGGCCAACATTTTCCAGAATCCCAATGTATTTTGAGTTATGATTTTCAGCAAATAAAAATTGTGTGTATATTTTGTTTCCCACCTTGTGATTAGTATTAGCATGGAGGTATCTCTTTTCTACCTCCGTGGTATTAGGCTGTGATTAGGCTGATCGGCCAGACACAAGTACCGGTAGTAGTGATTTTGGGGGTTTCGGAACTGCATGATTAAATTTAATAATATATGCCTGTATTTTTCAATTGCTGCATATTTTAAGTGTTCTCAGACACAACGCAAGTTTTAATCATCAGCACTTTTCCCCCCAAGTCCGAAAAACTCTGTCCTCTGGGTCCCCCAAAATAGTTTTTCAGTCATGGTCGTCATCGTCTCAGTTCACTCCAAGCAGACAGTTTCCCTGGCATGGAAGAAACCATGGCATTATTAGGTGAAATAGGTATTGCGTTTATAAACGCGTTTATTCTCAAAGACGAACAGGAAGTTAGTAGAAGACAACAGATTTTTTCGTTAATGTGGGGGAAAACATAGGTGTTAATCCGAAAATTCGTTGTCTATTATTGTTTGTGATTGGTCCTGGCAACGTTTTGAGGATCTGTGAGAATAGTTCGATCGTTGTTTATTGGATTAAAAAGTTAAGCCCCCCCCCCCAAAAAAAATGTGGCAGACATCCCACCGCGTTCTTTTACTGGTCAAA